AGGCTGTAGGGTTCTGGCAGCTTACGGGGTGTTGGGCTAGAATCAGCAACACTGGAACTCTAGGGGTAGGATTGAGTAGTCTGACCCCTGAATGTTGCCTGCTTTTCCTTTCCTTTCGCTTTTTTCAGCTCCTTTCAGATGAATGTTGCAGGATGTTTATCTGCCTGGGGCCCCTTGGAGCACTTCACAGAGTTTTGCTGAGTCACGGGGAGACTGCTGTAGAATGCTTAGGCACCTGGTGGTTTTCTGAGCTGGTTTCCACTGCTTCTGCTGCCTTCACTGAGCCACTTGGGGGTCCAGGTGTTGGTGTTTGCCTGCTTCACCACCTGGGTTTCAGGATCTCCTCCTAGTATGCTGAGGTAGGGCTTTCTGCTAGCTTGCTGAGAGGCTTCTCTGCTCCCCTTCCCCCGGGGCAAGAGGGGCCTTTCCTGTTAATCCCTCAAGCTACCTGGACTATTGGACTGCTGCACCCCATCTTTATTCAGGTTCAGCAGTTCCAGGGTTTTTCCTGGGGTGATATTTTCTGGTCTTTCAGAGGTTGGTAAGGGAGAGTAAGAGCACCATCTTGTCTCCTGGCAATGGAACTGGAACATTGCTTTTTCAGTTCTTTTCTCCTTCCTGCAGAAGAGCTCTACCAGCATAATTTTTTAAAGCTTCACATAATGGTTGCACCCTACTTTTTTGCAAAAAAAAAAAGATTGGGCATAGAATATGCAACAATTATGCAATGAAATACAACATATACAAGCAAATATGTTTATATACACATGTGTGTATGTGTATATGTGTATATGTTATATATACACACATATATTATTTTATTGTTATATATTATTGATTATGTAAATATATTAAGTAATATAAATATTGTATATATACATTTACGTGATATCACTTTAGCTTTGCAAAGCACTTTATACATGTTATCTCTTTTGATCCTCATTCCAACCCTGTGAGGTAGGTGCTCTTATTATCTCCATATTTACAAATAAGGAAACTGACGCACAGGAAGGATAAGTGAATTTTCCAAGTTAAGTAACTGTCTGATGCAGTATTTGAGAGGTTATGAGAGGTGAGGGAGAAGGAGAAACAAAATTTTAAAACAAAGGAGACAGAATGAATGGTGATTTATGGGCCAATATAGTGATGACTGAAGGAGAAGCCTGTTTAAGGGGAAAGAAAATAAGCTCAATTTTGGACATGTTGAATTTAGGTGGCAGTGGGCCATTCCTGTAGTTCTGCTGTAAGTACTTGAAGATGGGGATGGACAGCTCAGAAAAGAGAGCAAGACTGGAAACACTGATTTGGGAACTATTTGTAAAGGTAGTAGATGGAATTATAGGAATGAATGAGATTGGCAAGGGAGAAAGTAGAACCAAGGCAAGAAACTTTGAGAACACCCATGCTTAGAGAACAGGAAGAGGATAAAGATCCAGAGAAGACAGAACATGAATAGTTTGAGAAACAGAAAAGGAATGAAGAGAATGCAGTATATCTGAAGCCAAAAGGGGAAAGTATTTCTATTAGGCAGTGTGGTCAACAGTGCTAAAAGCTACCAAAGGGTCAAGAGGGATGTGAAGAGAAAAAAAAATCCATTGGATAGGGTGATTAGGAGGTAACCAATGATTTGAAAGAGCAAGTTGAGCAGGGCAGTGTTCAGGTTCAGTGTTCAGGACAGGTTTCAAAGGAACTGAGAGGAAAGCAGCAAGTGAGAAAGAAAGGGAAACTATCTAGAGTTGACATTTTTTTTAAGAAGTTGAGGAAAGGGTAGGAGAGAAAGATGAAACAGGAACTGAAAATGTCAAAGGAAGACTGAAGATGCATGAAAGGGGGCATGAATGTCTGCTGGAACACTTTCCTGAAGGGCATGGGAGATGTTGTGCCTCAATTCAACCTGCCTATATTAAAGACTCTCTAAACTCTGAATTTCCATTTTCATTTTACTCACAAAGCTTCAACTGTCACTTCTTTGGGGTTTAATCTACTCAAGGAAATGTGTGGAGAGCTGGAGATAAGAAGGCAAAAGATAAAACAGGCTCTTCTGGAGGGTCTCACATCCTAAAACACAGGTCTGTCCACCCCACTTCTTTGTGCAATAAACTTTAGTGTCTCTCTATTACTAATTTCTTCTGATTCTCCTCCTATTTATTTATCTGATCACTCTTTTTCAGTCTCCTTTGTTAGATCTTCATCTAGGTCCTTCCTGGTAGTCATGGATGTCCCCTGGGACTGTGCCCTGGACCCTCTCATCTTTCGTATTTTTTTCACTTGGTGATCTCATCTGCTCCAATGGATTCAATCATCATCTCTATATTAATGATTCTCAAATCTACTTATCCAGACTTAACCTCTTTGCTCATTTCTTGTATCTCATATCTCTCTGTTGTATGTTTCAAATGTCCAGTAAAGTTAGATGTGCAATAAAGATCTTCAACTCAACATGTCCAAAACTAAACTCATTTTCTTTTCCCCTCCTAACTCCCTTATTACTGTCAAGGTAACTACCATCCTCCCAGTCTCCCACGCTCATAACCTAAGTCTCATTCTCAACTCTTCACTCTCTCACCTCCTGTAGATAATCTGATAATTTTATCTTTGTAACATTTCTTCCATATGTCCCATTCTGACCTCTGACACTATACCTTGGTGCAGGCCCTTATCACAGGTTTGACATCATCAGTGTCCCTCCTTCTCACTCAATGAATTCCACTGGTTCTCTATTACCTCCAGGATCAGAACAAAATTCTTTTCAAAACCCTTCATAACCCACCCTGTACCCTTAATTTTCTAATCTTCTTATCCCTTACATCACCTCCACCCATACCCAAACATACACCAAATATTCTTCAACTCACTATCACTGGTCTTCTTGCTGTACTTCACATAAGAGACTCCATTTCATGACTCTGGACATTTTCACTGACTGTCTTTCATGCATGGAATGATCTCTTTTCTCATCCCTGCCTCTTAGCTTCCCTGGCTTCCTTCAAGTTGCTGTCAAAATCATATCTTTTATAGGAAGCCATTTCCAATCTTTCTTAATTCTAGTGGCTTCTCCCAGTTGCTTATTTCCAATTTATCCTGCATATAGCTTATTTGTACAATTATTTGCATGTTGTCTCCCTATTAGACTTTGAGCTCCTTGAGAACAGAATATCTTTTGCCTTTCTTTTTATCCCTAGTGCTCAGCATAGTGCCTGGCACATAATGGGCACTTAATAAATGTTTACTGACTTACTGACTAAGTGTGGCTTCTAGGAAGCTTCCTTCTCTGGTAAGGTCTTTTTTTCAAGTTTTCATCTCTTTCTTTGTCACACACATATAAGCAAGGTATCAGACCACCATGGTGGACACAGCCATCTTCTGAGAAGTAGTAGAATAGACATGTGCCTATGAGTTTTTCTCATCTTCCAAAAAACAGAATGACAATACAAATATTTAGAATTGCAGACTTTGATTAATTTGGCATTTGCAGCTGCTGCTGGTGCTATGTGACTTGATGGTCTGCAGCTTAGTGCTCCTTTGACATTGGTGGAGAGAAAAGACAGGGCATACAAATAGATCCTATATTAGAGGAGACAACCCTTATGTAGATGAGCTATGATTTATTTATTATATTATTATCTGTTAATTATATACTAACATCAAGAGATTTTATTATATTATCATATATCAGATTTTATTAATCAAAGACAGAGTTAAGATGAGCTAAATTTGTAGAGAGCCCTGACACTTCTTCCTTTACTGTTCAGCAGCAAAAAGGTACTTAATAAACACCAAGGCTTCACAATGTGCTCATTTCAATGCATTCCATAATTTAAGAGTAATCCAAAGAATACTCAGACATTCTTAATATTCCATAATACAATGCATTCTTAATATCCTTTAATCAGATATAGTTATGAAGTGAATAAAGCAATTATGCCAAAGCTGGAGATTTCCCTGAATGAGACACAGAGTCTGTGTACCAGACATCTGTGCATAACTACCCAAAGGTCTCTATGTGTGATATCTTTGAGAAGCCCTGCTTGTCTTTGCTGCTTTCTTAAGCTTCTCAACCACTTGTTCATCCCAGGTGTAAGAACAGCTGGAGACATGAAAACAAAGCATACCTGCTTATTTTCCAAGGAACAAACAGAAACAACGCTATATAGAAATAGAGAAAAATGACATGGTTATTCATGATTAGATGAGAGCTGTCAGTGTGCTCAGTGGTGTATAGGACATAAATATTTTCTCCCTAAGGGTTATCTAGGTAAGCAAAGAAAACAAATCACCTTGATATGAAACACAATTGAACAAACGTCCAGGTGCTAGAAGCTGTTAAGCCCATTGTTTTGTTTTGTTTGTTTTTTTGACATGTGGCAATGACCGTGTTCTCAGATGTACCCAGAGATTTTGATATGTAGCCATTCATATATCAAGGTCTTCATCATAGCATCTCAGGCCTGGAGGCACCTGAAAAACTCTGTGCAGGTACTGCCAGCTGAGCTCCCCATGCATCTGCTTGGGCAGATAGGTATCTACTGTATCCTTAGAATAGGCCCCAGGAAAGACTGGTAACCCAGACTAGTATAACCCATTCTAGTATATACATTCTAGTAACCCTTACTAACAGCTCTTCCCTAGAAAGCTCTTGTACCACCATTTAAGCATCCCTTCTCTTCATTCCTATCTCAGTGGTAGAGATAGATGGATGTGTGACATTTAAAAAGTTCAAGAGACATACTTTCTGGGTAATTAGCCATTTTATTAATAATGCTAGCATTTTATTAATTAAAGAAGTCAGTAGGACTCTTGAATGCCAAAGACCTTCTTGATGGTGACCTTACAGCTTATGTGCCCTTGGAAAAGAGGGTATTCCAGAGGGTGGCTATCAACTCTGATTGGTTAAGAATTAATGAGAGGGGTAGCTAGGTGGCGCAGTGGATAGAGCATGGGCCCTGAAGACAGGAGGACCTGAATTCAAATCCGGCCTCAGACCAAACACTTGACACTTACTAGCTGTGTGAGACTGGGCAAGTCACTTAACCCCAATTGCCTAAAAAACAAAAAACAAACAAAAAAAAATTAATGAGAGAATGAATATTACAATGAGAAGTGGGCTCACTCCAATGAGGGGCTTAGACAAAGAGACTATCTCTACACCCAGATCACCCCCAGCTTTGGGCAATCTAATCAAAGAATTTAACCCCACCCAAACCTGAGTAGAACACAATGGGTATCCCCACCTTAGATTAAATTCCTTGTAAGTTTAGATGGCATCTGACCAATATGGAAGAGAGTTAATTCAATGTGCTTCAAGAGATTGAACTTTGAAATGAGGATTGTAGAAAAAGGGGGAACTCTGTATCTCCCCAAATCATTGGTTATTAATAATCATTTTTCTCATGTGCCATGTTCCCTGTGGTAACTCCTGAAGACAGCTATTTAATCCTTTTAGAGGTCCTTCAACTTTCTACAGGAAATTTTCTTTTAACTCTTTTTGGGGTAAATCTTCTAATATTTTCCAGCTTCAGCCAGGATATTCATCTTATCTGGGCTCTCTTCTTTACCTGGTTACAAAGAAGGAAATAAATGGGAGAAACTGAGTCAAGATTTTTTTTTTCCATTTTTTTTCTCCCAAGTGAGGAGGAATGATAACAGAGTGGTACAACCTGGCCTCAAGTCCAGAAGGCATATGATTAATTAGCATGCAATTTAAAGAGAGAAACACAAAGAGCTCATTTGCTCTTTGCTATTTGCTTTTATACAAGCTAATCTCTGCTTCCGCTGCTTCAGGCTACTGAAACTTATCACTTTGTGAGAGTGTGAGGCAATGAACACTCTACAAAGGGAATACTCTCTCGAGAAGTAATTTGCTTGGTATCTTCCTGCCAGCCTTCCAAAGTCAAGATAAAAAACTCTCACACTGAAAAACTTTGCCATTCTTCTCACTGTGGAAAAACAAACAAACAAACACACATTCTAATACTACCAAAAGAAGGACGCACTTATATCATCTGATATTGAAATTCCTCACAAATTATTAGCTTCAAACCCAGACTTTCAATGGTCTATTTCTGGGAATTTGCAGTATTGCTAGTGTTTGCCAAAGCCACATGTCACCAGTTTCACTGGAGGTATTCTGAGGGTAGGTCCTTCACATTGCTATCTGACAGTAAGCGTGGTGCTATTCTAGTCTGTGGTACAGATTAGTTCACAAAATCACTAGAATGATCAGTAACACAAAGCAATAGGCCTTCATTACAGGTCACTTAAATCACAGGGAGGGTTTGTAGCTTGACTTGTGACCCATAAGAATATAAACTAAGGAAGTAAGAAAAATCAGAGCAAGGATGCATCCCAGTCACAGTTCCCAATGAGACAGGATGTAACCAGAATCTGGAAGGGTCAGGATATGCAGGGTCTGGAACTCAGTTACTAGGGAAACACAGATACAACCAAAATCCATGATGGGGCAGGATATACAGGATCTTGGCCTTAAGTGGTGATCTCTAGGCTATAACAGGAAGAGGAAGGGGGAGGATGATCCAGCAAGATGTACCTTCCAGGTTCTTATTCTTTCTTTTATGTTGTGTGCTAGTTTTCCCTGGGTCAGTTTCCATGACAGCAAGAATGTAGAAGAGGGCCAGCCTTTGAATGGCTTCCAACTTTTGATATATAGTGGAAAGGGCACTAGACTTGGAATCAGGAAGACCTGGGTTTAAATCCAGCTTTAGACATTAATAGATGTGTGACTTTGGCAAGTTACTTAATTTCTCTTTGCCTCAATTTCTCCATTTGTAAAATGGAGGAAATGGAATTAATGGCTTCAGAGATCCCTTCCAACTCTAAATCTATAATCCTATATAAAGGTCAAGGAAGCAGTAATTAGCAAGACTGCATGAGATAATGAAAGTTTCTAGGACATAAGATTTTCTGAATATTCCAGAAAAGAAATATAGTACCCAGCAGGAGATAGAAGCATGTGTAGAGCACAGATAGCCCATCGTAAGAAATAATAACTAACGGCTTTCCCCTACCCCCACGCCCACCAAAAAAAAAAAAAGGCTTTGTTTTTTTCTTTTTCTGGTCTACCACAAGTTGTCAGTTTAAAAAGGTTTTCTTACATTTCTGATATGGTGACAAAGGGAAGTTGGGTTGGACTCAGTCCAGTAACAATGTGTGACATGATGCAATTTGATCTTCTGGAAATGCAAGTAACACAAGTCATTTCGACAGGAATGTTAGTAAGTGGCTTTGTTTCTTTTTCCAAATTTGAATACTTTTGCTGTTGCCTGCCCTGTAGGTAACACACTCTAGCAAGCCTGGGGACCAGAAGTTAGTTTGTGTATACTCTGCAAGTGGCATAAATCTAAAGAATATTGAAGTGTGGTTATGATAACCCCTTCCCAGTTGTACAAAATCCATTTATTATGGCCACTGGCCAAATTATATGTGTGTTTCTTTCAAAGAGACAACATGAAAACTCTAACAGGGTCGATAACATTTCAAATATTTTGTGCCAGTGTATTTTTAGTTATGGTTATTTTCTCCCTTGGGGTATTTTAATACTTATAAGAAGGTAAATGAGTGACAAAAAAGGGGGGGAAGGAGCCAAGCATCAAAAGGGGAAAATCTACACCACAGGATTGGAGACACTTTTTTGGGGATTAAAGGAAAAAAAAATCACGAAGAATGTACCAGCTAGGTTAATCTATTTAGAATGACTTTTGAATGATGAACTCAAGAACAGAAAATCTAATTGCATTTATTTAATTATTTAATTTTGCTAGAATTTATTTCCTAATATACTTGCTACTTGTAATCTGATCAGATTTACAGGGGTGGGGAACCTGTGGCCCTGTGGCCTCTAGGCCACATGTGACCCTCTAGGTTCTCAAGTGCTGCCCTTTGTCTGAATCCAAACTTCACAGAACAAATCCCCTTAATAAAAGGATTTGTTCTGTAAAACTTGGACTCAGTCAAAATGTGGCACTTGAGGACATAGAAGGCTACATGTGGCCTCGAGGCTGCAGGTTCCCCACCCCTGGATAGAACCTGGTAAGAAACTTTTCTAATTAAGCACTGGAGAAGAAATTGTAAGATAACTTTTCGTGCCAAGCTGCATATTTACTTTAATTAATGCAGTTTTTCTCCTTGTTTTATAAGTCTGACCAATGCCAAGAGTTTATGCTTTCTCTCCTTTATGAATATAGGACTGATTAATATATGCCTTAAGTCATAGGCTCATAATTCTAAAGCTAGCAAGGACCCCAGAGTCCAACTAATTCAAATTTCTAATTTTTTTAGCGGAAGAAACTGAGGGAGGCCTACCCCCTGAAAAGCAGCTAATTAAAGCAGGGTTATATTTTTGAATTCAAAGATATAAGTGGATTTGAGACAGATATATCAAAGAAGCTGCTATCAAAATTCCTCAGGGGGGCAAGAAACAGATTAAAATGTGATTGGGAAAAGTTTCACAAAATACATAAAAATACAGTAAAACAAAGATAATGTTACTCTATGGTTTTCTAATTCAATATACTGCTCACAGGGGTTGGTTCCTATTTGAGTTTGACACCACTGGTCTAAGAGACTAGATTATTCATGACTATAAAGCTGTGTGAATACTGCAGCAGAGTTCTCATCTGAATTAATAAGATGAAAGCTCCTTTGTCATGTTCTCATTATCACAAAGTGCTTCTGGGGATTGGGAATAGTTCATATGGAATTCTGAATCTTTTAATTTGGGGAAGGACAATGGAAACTGTAGTTTCAGCTCTAATTGCAATTGATTTGTTAGGTCTCATAGGACCATAGAATTAGAGCTAGAAGAGACCTTAGAAGTCATTGAGTCCAAACCCACCATTTTACAGATGAGGAAATTAAGACACAGCAAAGTGACATAACTTACCAAGGGTCAGAGGGCTAGCAAGTGACTGAGGCAGAATTTGAACTCAGGTCTTCCTGACTCTAAGTCTAGAGCTTTATCCACTAAACCACCTAGCTGTCTCATCAGTGTGAGTATTCCATCCATGCCTGTCCAATCTATGTAACTCTTTAATTTGCCAAAGTGGGGCCCACCCAATGTGTTAGGGACCTTTCTTGAGTTCTGTTGACATCATGGAGATATAAATTGAGCATGTAGGATGCCTGTCACTTACCACCTACTCTCACCATGGGGCCAGCTCGTGTTTTTTTTTTTTTTAATCGCACATTTCTTTGAAGAGATCCTTTGCATCACTTTCTCTTCATCATTCCTCTTTTGTACCACATTACAAACCCCTACTGTCCATCATGAATCTCTCCCTTTAGGTGCTCTTCAGTCACAGAAACTCAAAGTGGGAAGAGGTCTCAAATATTATATCAAACAAGACTATCTATGAGAACAGATCAGACATTAGGTCATAGCTTTGTGGAGAAAAGATGTGGAAGGAAAGATTCTGGTTCAAATAAAAAGAGGCACTTTGATTTTTGTAGTATCACCCAACTGAAGATATGATGAGTTAATATGGCCTCTCCTCTTTACTAATAAGCAGAAAAAACAATTCTACTCTCTGGATTATGTGTTCTCAGCAAATTTTTCCAGGGACAAGGTAGTATAAGCTGTGGTATGAAGTCACTAATCAGTACAGAACCATCTAGTAGTGCCAGGTGTTGCAACCTCTTCAAATGAGTTCTAATTAAATGTGAGTATAGAACTCTCAGAGTAGCTAGTGTCTTGCCATGTTTCCTTTCCTCTCTTATCTCAAAATTCTAAGAACTCCCAAAGGGTGAAGTCAACAAGGAAGACAAGGGGATCACTGTACACATTCCCTTTTGTGTATCAGCTAAAAATGTCATAGGGAAGGAGAAAGAAGGATGCAATAAGTAGGTTAGAGTTCATCTATTTTTTAAAACAGGAGTTCTGAAATATTTTGTGTCATGGACCTTTTTAGCAGTGGTGAAGTCTGTGGACTCATTGAAAACCACAATAGCAACAACAGTAGCAATAATAGTATTTATAAAGCACTTTAAGTTTTGCAAAAGACTTTACATATATTATTTCATTATCTCCAACAACAAGGGAGATGGGTGCTATTATTTTCCCCATTTTACAGATGAGGAAACCGAGGTCAAGAGGTTAAAGTGATTTGCCCAAAGTCATAAGCTACTAAGTGTCTAAACAGGATTTAAACTCAGATCTTCCTAATTCTAAGCCCAGCACTGTATATGCTATGCATTCTAGCTCTCTATAATGCCAAAAACATTATTGTTTTTAAATATATTAACAAAACATATATAGCATTAGCCAAATGCGTGGAGTGGGGAAAGGAATAAACATTTATATATTATCTGTTATATACCAAGTACTGTGCTAAGTGGTTTCATGACTTTTATCACATCTGATCCTCATAACAACCTTGGAAGGTAATGCTATTATTATCCCCATTTTATAGTTTAGGAAACTGAGGTAAACCAGTTAAGTGACTTGCTCAGGGTCTGAGAGCAGATTTGAACTCATCTTTTTGATTCCCAGCCCAGTGCTTTATCCCCTGGGCCACTAGCTATCTGGTAATTACAATTGAAA